CCTGACATAAACATTGGACATATCTCATATTTATTTAATTTTGTGACGTTTTCATGTGATATTCCTCTGCAATGGTCTTACTGACCCTTTATTACTATCATCATAAAACTTTCCATGAATGCGAGAAAACTCCACACACAAACTATGAGTTAAGAGATTAATGCATTGTAGATATTACATAGGATTTACCTCCGATTCCCATTACTTCTTTTTCCTAATAGTGAGAACTTACAAGGAGATAAATGCTGTTCTTTATCCCACCCCATCCCCTTCTCACTCTCTCTCTCTCCCTCTCCCCCCCCCCCCTCTTTGTTGCTCTCTCTCCCTCTCTCTCTCACTCTCTTTGTTTCTTTCTCTCTCCCTCTGTCCGTCTCTCTCTTTCTCTCTCTTTCTTTGTTTCTCTCTCTTTCCCTCTCTTTGTTTCTCTCTCTTTGTTTCTCTCTCTCTTTCTCTCTCTCTCTCTCTCTCTCTCTCTCTATCTCTCTCTCTCTCTCCTCTCGATCCCTGTCCCTTCTTCCCTCTCCTCTTATTGTACATTTCCTTCGTCTATTGACTGTTTACCTATAATTTCATTCAGCGAGTTAATATGATATTTCTTTTTCACATTCACATGAGCGAATTGATATGAAACTCAAAACGACTGTTTGACTGATGGAAGAGGAACGACTCAGCCAACGTCCTTTTTTCTCACACAACGGTGATCGCATATACGACCAACATGCCCAAGTGTTTGGTTTAGATCGCGTTTCTCCCGCGAGAAATCTTTGTCAACATCTTGTGGAATATCATATTTACTTGATTATACCAAGTTAGTGCGATGCCTTACGTTTCAAACATTCTTATTTCATATTCTTGTATTTATTCAACGTTTTGGAGACGCCTTAACGCTCACTGTTCTTCCATAATCAATAGTGGCGAGGAAAAAGACAAAAGACATTACTTCTTTAGTATCACCATGGTTACTACAGACAAAGAATTTGTCTTTGATTTAAATTATCATGAGCACTATTTCCAATGAAGTGCGGCTTCAATCCAGCTCTATTTTATCAGCAGCATCCATCCTAGGCTAATAAACCTTTATATTGAGCTATGAATAAATCATAACAGAAAACAATATACTTTCGGAACCGTAACCGTCCATCTTGCATACATAATATACAAGACATGAAGAAAAGGGTAAACGAGGGTAGATTCGATATTAAAGAAATGCCGAATTCAAGTGGTATCTTTCAGCAATCTTGAGGTATTAAAATGGAGACAGTAGATGTAACCCAAATTCCAATGAAGCCCAAACCATATTTTGACGGAATAAACACTGGAGCAATGCTTTTCGGGGCACTGTAAATATCGGATCACTAAAATGGGTATTTCTCTTTTTTCTTAAAAATCAATTATGAAACAAAATTAGTCCTCTACACATTATTCATTTATTTATTCGTAGCAACCAAAGGGTTGGATTGATGGCCTAATCTTGCCGTGCGATGTAGGACCAAAATATTATGTCACTGTGTCTGATGTCCAGCAGAGCTAGAGACAGCATGCTTTGGATCACAACATAATATAGTTGAGGTATCAGTCACATCGCTAAACTGACGCCACGCGGTCTCCAAACTGATCCATTCTTTTCCATTCCAGGTAATATAATTTTATTCGGTCTGTTTTCGGGGTCTCGTCAGTGTGACTGGGTCAAGCATGAAGAAGAAATGTCTGAAAGAAGCGTTTAAATGACAGAGACTCTCCGAACAGATAGTACAGTTGACACAATGCACTATGGCAAAGATGTAGAGATTACATTTTACTTATTAATGCAAATCTTATAATTTGTATACAATTATATTACATTATATTACGATATAATGAGTGGAACTGCATCAGAATAATTATAATTTTGAGATTTACTTATAGGCACGGTAATATTTATGATAACTTAATGGGATTTTTTTTTCGAGAGCGGGATTTGTTTAATTTAAAACAAAACAAAAATTAGCAAAGGCTAGGGAATATTGATTTGATAGAAAATGCATTATATTCAATAGTTAGTGTTCTATATAAAAACACATGAGATTGTCACTAATAACGTTTGTAGCATTTGCGTTTTGGAATTAAAGCACTCATTAAGGTCACTCCTGTTAACCATCCTTGTACATATAAATCGAATTCAATTCGATTTCTCCTTCGAAGATTTAGCATACGGTTAGGTCTAAATCCTCGTTATTATTCTAGATTTCCGCTGCACGCATGATGTATTGCAGTGATTTAAGGCGTCTTCGGTTACCATATCAACATGTTTAAATTTGCATTTTGCAAGTGTCGGCCATATACCATGATGGAATTACATTATACACTGATCAAGAGATGTCTAGTGTACATCGGCATCTATGCGTCTAACTTTTTTTTCTCTCAATGCTATTTTTTCCTCCTCTTACGGTGAAGGTGTTCAGGATTAATTAATATCACATATTTGTTGCCTGTGTTTATTTATTTTTTTTAATTTTTTTTTATTTATTTTTTTTATTTTTTTTTTGCGGTACATGCGGTGTGGTATATTTGAGCATGAGTAGAAACATCTAATGACACATGAACAGTAACATATCGCCTGAGTCTAGACAACACATATCATGTTCATGAGTAATTATACGACATTACGCTATCCTTACGATGCGAGATGTCTTTCAGTGACTATTCCGCCCTGAAACAAGACTAGCCCTAGATTCGAATGAAATATGACGTGACGGATTATAAATAATTGACTGAAATGCGGCTATCATCCTGGATACAACGAGAAAGCAGTTATCGTGACTTTAATCAGATTAGCATGAATATGTTTTCTGGTCCACTCTTCAAGAAATGAACACGTAACCATGGTTACACATCATCCATGTAAAGAAAGAAGCCTGTGACTATCTACAGAATGCCTCTTACATGAAAGATAATTTTATTTCCCTTTTTTTCTTTAAAATTTATCTCTGTTATCATGTCAGCTTAGTTATTATTTATGATCAGTCAGTTTCCCATCTTTATTCATTCCTTCTTTTGACATCTTCTACAAATTAATTCATTGGGAAGATTTTTAGTTTAGTAGAATTTTGGCTATTTAATTAGGTATTAGTCGTTCATTGTATTGTGTCCTTTCCGCTGTTTCCCGTATTAATGATATTTCAGGTTCAAGACTTACTCGGTATTGCTACGCTTCGTGTGTTTCTATGTCATGATCTCTCTCTCTCTCTCTCTCTCGCTCTCTCTCCCCCTCTCTCTCTCTCTCTCTCCCCTCTCTCTCCCTCTCTCTCTCTCGCTCTCTCTCGCTCTCTCTCCCCCTCTCTCTCTCTCTCGCTCTCTCTCGCTCTCTCTCCCTCCCTCTCTCTCCCTCTCTCTCTCTCGCTCTCTCTCCCTCTCTCTCTCTCTCTCTCCCCCTCTCTCTCTCTCTCTCTTTCTCTCTCCCTCTCTCTCCCCCTCTCTCTCTCTCCCTCGCTCTCTCTCCCCCTCTCTCTCTCTCTCTCTCTCTCCCTCTCTTTCATTTTCCTTTTCCTGTTCGAATATATGAGGTTCTGGTAAATCCCACATTGCTAATACTCGGGACTTCAAATGTGTCCCATCAATCATGGCTTATACCGAACAACCATCAACAGAGGTCGCTATTCCATTTCACGTAAATACAAAATAAGAGTTGGCATTGTCATTGTTGGAGGACAGTATTACACAATGCTAAAAATCTAACAAGAATGTCTAGCTCATGTACGTTTTGTCATAAAATAACTGGCCAAAGCCAAATCACATATTGGGACAATAAATGCTTGGTCACGTGTACGCTCTCAGCCAATCATCTGATAATGGTCTACATGTATGTCACCACTTTAAAAAAAACTTACTCTAACTACATGTCATTGATGCATAAGTGGTCATACAATACGACTGAACGATTTTGCTATTTTTATTTCAAATGATACCACACAAATTAAACAGAGGGCACCAACACTTTTGTTATAGTTATAGATTCAGTTTATTTCAAACGTATTTAAGACTGAGTTGTAGTAGCAATAAAATAAAATAGTGCCAGAACAACTTGGTTGTTATGCTCCGAAACGTAAGGTATAACAGTAACACTAATGTATATTGAGTCTTTATTCCAAGCAATGAATACAAACATTTACAATACATCAATATAATAAATCTTTATTTCCTGAATGCAAAAAAAAAAACAGTACAGTATCACACACTTACCAACCAGGTTTCAAAATGTACATAACAAAATTGTTCTATTACTTATAAAAGGAAGAGACAAAAGGATTTTGAATGCCGCCAAATTTAAAATAATATAGTAATTAGCAGGTCATGGAATCAATTGGAAATCAATAGTCAGAAACTGTCGAAAACTCTAAAATGTTGTCAATGAAGATAATAGAAGTATGAATGCATGTTGTGGATACTTGGGGATGTATTGGGAAAAAAGGGCTATGCCATAGCACGTGAAGAAACCCAGCAAAAAAAAAGTAAAAAAAATAAGAAAATGATGACATTTTCTGCCATTCCTGAAACCATGACGTCAACGACTTTGTATTATACACACACGGGGGAGTATCATCATAAATCATCGCGACGATATAAAAATACATTTAATCTTTCTAATTTATCATTCTTGTCTTTGGAAATGTTTGACATTCTAACAGATTTTAAAAAAATGAAATCTCAACATATATATAGTTATTCATCATATTTTATATATTGCTAAAGCCTCATTATCATTTTATATATTACATGACAGTTGTGTACATACAATTAAGTAAAATATGAAGAAATACAATATATTTGTATGTACAGCAATTCATGCTCCAAAATTGCTGGTTCCTTATGCCTAGGTCACATTTGCTCTACGACTAGGATACGGCGGTCGTACGCCCCCATAATCGTGAGATACTTGCAGCGGCCGCAGAGAATCTGGTGGCCTCAGGGTCACCCTAGGGCGTATCCCTGTCTTTATAGGCCGTACGGGTCGCCGTACGGGTCGCCGTGGGATTACAACGCGGACTTATAATTTGTTTTATTTCTATGCTCGCGGTAGCGATTAGACACACCGTAGCCATGCCGTAGAGCGGTTCCACGGCGACCGTATGTCGGGCATACGGTAGCCTTGCGTTTTAAATACTCCAGGGGTGAGGCGATAGCATCAATCTGGCCAAACGGTCACCGTATGGTCCCCCTTCTACCTTAGTATTTGTCAAAAAACCTACGGCCGCCGCAGGGACGCTGATTTCAAGACCGTCTGTAAACTTAGGGGACTATTTATATCAGAGTCAGCTGCTTTGATAGTCAGTGCTTATGTATTTCTCCACACATCGCACCAGGAATATTGCGAAGCTGATGTGATCTGCGTATCTGGTCTTTAAGAGGGCATTACGATTACACATGTCCCTTCAACACGTCAAAGTTATGAAAACACGTTTCAGCTTCGCTTTTCAATAAATATATATTTTAAGCATAGAATATTAGGCATTGCACTTGCCGCCTCCGCTACCAGCCTTAGCACCAACATGAATCGCTAGCATAGGATCCTCGCCGGCATATATATCAAAATTCGCCATCCCTGCACCGTCTACGGCAACAACAGAACCTGTACAACCCGACGCCGTTGGATCACCACTTATGACGTCACAGTAGATCCCTGGAGGGAGACCCGTGAACAGTGTTCTGGAGAGTTCGTGTGGTTCGTTGTTGAGGACGAAGAACGCTTTACCGCCACGAGAGAACGCGATCTGATTGTGGCCATTGTCCCACCAGTTCTGCACTGGATGTCCCTTCGCTGCATTTCTGAAGCATGCCATGTTACGGATCTGTCTCCATCGGTGTTCGCATATCCATCCTCCACTGCATGTGGTGTCCGAATTGATTCGAGGCCCTCGTGTATTCCCGTATAGGTCTGCTGGTGGTCCTTGATCCGTATCGATGAAGTCGTAGCTGCTCATGACGCGCGTGACTCCGTAGTCCCACGCCAGCATAAATGCGATGGCCTTCTTATACTCGTATGGCATCTTATAAGTCAGGACATTCCCTCCACCACCATGGTTGCGCTGATTGTCATGGTTATCGATGAACACTAGCGCCTTGTCACGTGGCATCAATCCCCATTCCTCACCGAACCCTGAGAACCAGACAGCGGCCTTCGAAGCAGCCCCAATCCCGAAGACCTCATCAGCGTACTTGAATTCGGTCACAGATCCGATGTCGTAGTACTCTGTGGCCTTGACTGCCTCGTGACTAGTTCGGTCGATTACCTCCTGGTAGATGTATGGTTTGGTATTCCAGATCGTCCTCCTTAACCTAGTAATGAGAAGTAGAAATTGCCTGTTAAATGGCTCTGCTGTTCATACGTACGGTAAAATTGTACACATTATTATGGTGTTTTTTAAATTACACTAGCTGTCTTGTGCGATTCCCGATTTATTCCATTCATTGGTAAGTATAATCCTACGGCTTGCACCAACACATTTCATTTAATGGACATTGATGCATTTTGTTCTAAATATCCTATTATTAAACTCAAATTTAATCTCACCTGTTAACAATATCCGCAAGATCGCTGGGCCACATGTGTTTTGCTGCGTCTATCCTGAACCCTGCCACACCCATCTCCAGCATGACATTCAAGTACTCAACGATGACATCACGCGTGTGGTAGTCATTGTCGGGTCCGAAATAGAGGTCGTTCAGGCCCTCCAGGTCGCAGTTGCGGACGTTATCTGCATTGTAGTAGTCTGATACCCAGCCGTGATCTACTGGACAGCGGCCCAGCGGGACGTTGAAATCGTCGGTACTGAAGGGGACATTCGGGAAGTTGTATCTGTCATCTGCAAATGAATGCAATGAAAAGAGATATTATTAAATTATTGAGGATACAATGATGGAAAAGTGTCGGAGAAGATAAATGTAGAGCCTCATCGAGGCTTACAGAGTCACAACTTCAAAGACGTTTTGAATTTGAATCAATAAACAAGAAGAGGCGGCATTCTTGACGATGACAAGCATTAGATTAATACTCGGGATAAGTTTAGTTTTCTTTCTTGAACAACACAAAGAAGAGTTTTATTTTATTTTCGATGTTATGTAGTCAGTACTCATATAGCAACGTTACACATATAATTTAACATGAAAATCTGATACCATGCAGATGATCTTGATTAAAAGATATCTTTACTTTTTGTTAAGTTTCAAAAGATCGAGGCTCTCTCTATTAAAGCAGTAACTTACCTTCAGTGTGTTTTGCCATATGATTGATGACCGCATCAACGTAGATCCGCACACCGACCGCATTGCACCTCTCCACCATATCGCGAAACTCTTCTGCGGTACCACTGCGGCTGTTTAAGCGGTAACCCATCGGTTGATACCGCTGCCACCACGGCCCATCGAATGTTTCAGTATCGATGTACTTGTGTTCATTGGGTGGTGATACCTGCACACCGGCGTAGCCATATGGGCCAAGAAACCTGTGGAGAGATGTAGTTGACATTTGGATAATAAATCAAGTAGGAGCTAGGAAGTTCTCAAAGCGCCATAATTACCTCACTCTGATTTCGTATATCCTATGTTTTGATCTTCACATTATCTACACAATTATACCTTTTTCTTTTTTGTTAGTTTTTGGGGGATTGTGCCCCCCCCCCCCCCCCATCCAGATTCCTGGATCCGCTCCTTCTAGGGTACATATCAAAAGGGTTTCGATATCTCAGAAAAGTAAAGGGGTAGTTGACTTATTCTTACCAACGCGATCGCAAACGACTAATAAGAAATCAAGAACAGGTCAATATGATTACTCTTCTGTATAGTGTGTAGAAAACAAGTTCGGATTACTAAATTTGTCATTAAAGTGTTCCCACATTTTTTTCTCGAAAGTCTCTGCGATCGTATTTACCTTTCACATTCGTCTGCAATATCGACCCAGGTCCATTCGAATAGGTGAACGATCACCGTTCTATCCTTCTCAAAGTTCTGTTCGTCCGTCAACTGACTGCCTCCGTTCAGCATGTCGAGTATAACGTTCAGTGCCCGGATGCTATGATCTTGAACAACTGTGGGAATCAAAACAGGGAGGGGGTTAACAAACAACGATTCCATGTTTTGCAGCTGAATTCGGGGTTCAAAGAGGAAGGTATGATGATGATGATGGAACCCCCGCCCCTTGTCCGCAAATATGAAATAGTGAGGACCTTTTTTAAAAATTCTTTTAAGTTTAAAAATGTTCGATGATTTTATTTGTAAATTATTTTGGTCCACCCCCCCCCCCCCCCCTCAAAATGATTAGTGAAGGCCTTGATCAAAATGACAACGTTTAAAATTATATGATTTCATATTCTAAATTCTTTATGGGTTTCTATAAAAGTACTATAAGTACTGATATGTTCATTTATTTATTTATTTCATTTCCAGGCAAGATGATAACAATACAAAGAAAACATCACAGGGTTGACAAAATGATATAACATTAACAGTATGATATTTTAGCACTAGCCAAAGCCTGGGGATCACCTAAAAGAATTTTAAAAATTCTGTCGAGAGGCTTTCCACATTGGCTGGTGCATACATAAAACAAATATAAAGATAAAGTAAACATTTACATGAATGGTTAACTAAAATTACCCCCATATTAGGCACATGTGGGGGACATCAAAAGTAAATTATTTTATGTCATACAATAATGCCATGTTCAGACTAAATTTGGTATATGATACACAAATACAGCAAAAAGTTTGATTCTATAGTATACGGTAATGTGGATATATCCTCATTAATCGAATCTTATCAGCAATCCGATTGCTTATCTTTCTGTAGATATATTAACTCAATGACAAATAGAGATTAATGCTAATACATACATGGTAGAGTCGTAAACACTAAAAAGCAGTAGTACCCCTAAACTGAAATCTTTGTAAGCTGATGGAATTACCATGATATATATCGGAAGCTATTCTAGGAAAAGCCGCGAATATGTTGCTCCCAGTAGCTGGCATGGCTGTCGCTGCTTCTTTCTCCTTATCTTCAAAGATTCGCGTTTCGTGCAAATCACCTGAGATGATTGCAGCAGCGAAAAGTAACAGCAGGAGCAATCGATTGGTTCCGATTCTGGAGAGAAGCCCTCCATCATCGTCGTCTCGACATCCGCGCTTCTTCTGACCTGCCATTCTAGCTCGTCTTGTTCGGTGGTTGAAATGGTCGACGACTACCAAAGAAGATGACGCTACTCCGATGTTACTGCCTGGAAAATGTATTTTGAAGATATGAAATCATAATGAAATACTCTACTCACTATTGTTTGGAAAGACTTATTATCGTCCTATTAAAAGTGTTATCATAATCGGTATCGATCAATAATTATACCCGTAATGGAAAGAAAAAAATAGTGGAAATATTAATATTAGGGACAGTTCTATGGATTTCCTAATTGCATCAAATGCATAAGATACTTAAATCCTTTTTAGCATAAAAACCAATCATTAACTAACCTCAACAAAATAAACCCTGTAATCCGTCAATGAATTCGATAAGGAAAAGCTAAACATAATTGTAGTGGGTGTGGGGGAGGCTAACATTGTGTAATCACGGTTAGGGCAATCTCATAGATCTTGCTTTTATTGATCATATTCTTGAGTTTGAATTAGTATTAAAACTTTTTGTTCAAACAAAAATAAACCGAAATGTACTTTGCAAAAGTTTTCAGACTGAAATAACAACTTCATATTATTATTTTTTGGTCATAGCCTACATGTTTTACTTCGGCACACAAAGATGAAAATGAGACATTTTAGCACTCTTAAAAGACATTTATACTTTTGTTGTTGTTGGTTAGTGTTTTTATGGCAATCAGTAATTTTGACTGTTATTACCAACAATTTTGTTTTCTTCAATCATAATAACAAATGATTTCTCTCTTGTTTTGGGGGTAGTTTTTTTTTTTTAAGATAAAATAGTATCATGCCAGGTTACCGAGTCCTGTCGGTTCTAAACTGGCACCGTCCTGACAAACCTGCTCGTGTTTCGTACGAATGTTTTTCGGAAACAAGTTTCCTATAAGTCTCTCGGGTGCAGACAGGGGGCTCCCTTTGGGATGCCTCAATATCTTGAAACTCGAAAACTCATCCACTTTGAATAATGGATCACAACATACAAAAGATGCTAGTTACCCTTACGTATACGCATGAAAGAAATACCAATGCTGATATAAGTTATAACATTAGAAGCCACAGAAGTTGGATGAAGTTTGGCGTCTCTTTTCCATATATACACAATATAGATCAACTGAAATCCCACAATGAAATGAAATCATTATTTAATATTTTTCATAAACTCACCTTCAACGAAGCTATTGTAAAAAGATCCTCGTCTTGAGCGGTAAGGCAATGCTGGAAGACTTAGCAAAAGAGTCGCTGAGTTATTGAATAATCCAATGAATAAGTTGAACTTATGGAGTAGATATCCTCATCATCTCGGGACCACTTATCATATGATACTGTCATCATTGAATCTTAGGTTCTGGATATATCCTTTTTTTCTTGTACCCTTAGTACGAACAGGCCTACATTTCGACCAATCAGAAACAAGCGAATTCCACGTGGTGGCTTTATCCTTCAGCTGTTGACAAAACAATGTTCTATTTCGCGCTGAGAGTTGCAAACAATGGTCTATTTACCATTTACAGCTTCGATTGTATCGTATTTGTTGAGGTAGTGGTGTAGCTTCGGGGTGGGGCAAGCAGTGGCGGATCCAGGGGGCATGGGGGCGAGCCCCCAACCGTGGCAAAAAAAATGGTAACGTCAAGTTTACCTATTTATAAAAGAAAAACAGAAGACGGGCCCCCACCCCTGGGAAGAAAAATAAAGTTTTTAAAAAAAAGATGGTATTCTCACTTTATTTATATTTTGTTCAGGGGGGAGGGTATTGATTAAAAAAAATTGATCTCACTCCCCCCCCCCCCTCGCTTATGCGCCGCTAAATATTTTCTCACGAATTGGGCCCCCTCAATCGCCGCTGGCTGGATTGGCCCCTATAGGGGCAAGTGCCTGCAGTCGTATCGCGAAAATGAAAATGAATTAAAGGGATGGAAGATGATGGACAACGGAAAAATGAAAGACAACGAATTGGATGATACGACCCCTCCCACTCACTTCTTTTAGTCTTTGTTTATTTCAACCCCTTCATATTTCCGAAGCACCCCACATCATGACACCAGCGCCTCCTTAACGCGACGTCACTGTGAATGGTCTACCCTACTACCCGACTAAAAAAGCCCCGGCCCACACCGGTCCTACGTTATCGACAACGATTAACATCGGGACGTTCAAGAAGACCGACATCCTTCGAGGCTCACAATGTCGTTCTCGTGGATCTTGACAACAGTCAGGGGCGGATCTAGCTTTTTGCCAAGGGAGGGGGGGGGGGGGTAACCAAAAAAATTCCAAAAATCGCGCCGTTTTAATGTTTTTCTTTTTTTTTTTTTTCACTTGGCCGTCCAAGGGAGGGGGGGGGGGTAAACCGCCGAAACACCCCCCCCCCCCTAGATCCGCCCTTGAAAGTTATCAGATTGCGCGTGAGACCGAAATTTGCGGTTTCTTGGGCAGCCCCTACTGTTTATTTTTTAATTAAATATTTGAATAAAAATAGGAATAATTTACTTGGAGAATGGAGAAATTTAGCCAGAAAGTTTGCCGTTTCAAAGCACGGGGTCTTTTTTTAAACTGAATCCAGAACAATGGTAAATAGTTAACTTTTAATCTTTTATTTTTATAGGATTATTTACAACTGTTGCAATCGGATAGCTACGACTAAGCCTGTACGCTATAACGATATCAAGAAATAAACACATATGTCATTGTCAATATTGAGTCTTTTCTTATCCGTTGCGCAAACAAACGGGCATCGTACCCGTCTATACGACCCTTGTTCATAAATATTGTTCGCAGGACCTGAAATTTGGGATCCTTTATCAAGCCAATATTTATCATCTCCAAGATAACAGTGACCAATTTTGATCGAGAATCGATAATAAGACCTTGTTTGATGTTAACACACATTCGACTATTTTTAGAACTCACGTGTCTTGCATGCAGGTAAAGAAACTTTGACAGATGTCACACGTAGGCTCATATGTATATGGGGAGTCGAGGCTTAAACAAAAATTTGGGTTCTGGAAAAAAGTGGAAGAAAAATGATTTACTGTGAACTTTCTCATTACTTCTGTTCCTATGGTAATATGATAATATAATTTTTTTTTAAATAATAGCAAAGTCCCAGAAAAATGATTGCTCTTGAAATGCTCTCATTTTGTTAAATAATAACAGGGCCCGCGCGGGAACCACGGGGATCGAGGCTCGAGCCCCCCCCCCCCCCTCCACTTAAAAAAGGGTGTTAAAGAGAAATAGACGGAAAGAAAATTGCAAAAATCTTTCTTAATGGCGATCCTCGCAACTGTAAAAAGTACATTGGAACGCATATCAAAGGAATGGTAGGTATAGGCTGTATGCATAGCAAATCATGCACATGGTAAATGCCCATAAAAGTGGTCTGGGTGGAGGCTGATATGCTTTAGTGAACTGAATTGATATACCGTATAGAAAATGAATCAAGTGAAGAAGGCTTTGGCGTCAAAGGATTTACTGCAAGGACGAAATGTGAAAAAGTCAGACAAGATTGCCATTAAATTCGTTAGAAATATTGGGAGAAAGAGATGTGACAGTACTCGCTTGTATCATATTTTAAACAGAAATTAATTTTTCACCTACAAAATGTACTCGTAAAAATAAAGGGTCTAATCTTTAGCAAGTGTCTCATTTGAATGAAATAGTACTTCAGACCATGATTTACGTCATTAAACAAAAAACATAGTGACCTGCCAGAGTCACAAATAAGGTATCAAAATATACTCATCTGACCGTAATTAAATGCCTAAAACCCTTGAGCTTCGGAGGGCTCTGCCAGGGGCGGCGGAGCGACTTCCAAAGTGGGGGGGGGGGGCAACAAAAAAGGGCACCTACAAGGGGAAATCTCAAAACGAAAATGTACAATTCTTTTAG